TTGGAGAAAAGCCACACTATGCTACACACTGGGCTAGGAAATCCTCGAAGGGATGCCTTGCAAGAGGTAAATCAGGGTAAATCACCTCTCCCAGTGTGGCCCCGGGGCACTGGGATGCACTGGGATCCCCTTGGCCAGTGTCCACCTGTGTCTGCAGCCCAGTGTGGGCACGGCTAGTGCTGCCAGCAAGGTAAAAAGAAATAAACTGTTAAAAATGCAGAGTCGTTTGAAATCTGCTCACCAGGAGGGCACCGCACACTGCCTCGTCCAGGCTGGGCTCCTCCTGCCTGCGGTTCCTGCTCCTTTAAACCCACCAGCCAGAGGACAGGTTTACCCAGGGAAATTAATTCCACATGCGTTTAAATAGCTGTGTCTGTGCAGCTCCTCGGGCCCTCGGCTGCTTTGCAGCAGGGAAAGGCCTCCCCGGATCCAAACCCCTTTCCCTGCACTTCCCAGGGGTGCTCACGGTGCCAGGTCCCAGTGCCAGCTGGGGACACGATTGGGGTTTTGGGGGAAGCCCCATGGCAGGACATGGAGGGCAGAGGTGTGGGGGGGCTGCCAAAACACTGTGAGGAGTCCCAGCACTCCCATTGCTGCCCTGGACAGGAGGGCTGGTGACCACCGTACCCCCCCAGGCTACCTCTGGTGCCTCCAACTCAGCTCCTTGCCCAGGGAGTGGGAGATGAGAATTCCAAGCAGAGGACTCTGCTCACATAAAGAAAAAAAAAATAAACGCCCAGGGATGGAAGTCTGGGAGATGTGGGCTGGCCAGCCTGGGGGTGGTGACCTCCAGCAACATCTCCCTCACCTTTGCCACCTCCGCCAAGTTCTTGCGCCCTTGGAGGAGGACAGACAGATGGACAACACAGCTTTCAGCTCGAGGTGCCCAAAAGATGGTGAGGGATGCAACTGGCGGGGGGCAGCTCCCGCTGGGGTCACATCACCATGGGCAGGGGCCACCACCAGGCATTGTCCTGTCCCCAGGGCTTTGCAGGGGGGACACAGCCCTTCCAGTTCAGCTCGTGCAGCCACATGAGTCACTGTCCTCCTTCTCCGCTACCCCGTGACCTTGACCATGGCCCTTGAAACTTCAGCTGCTATCTCCACCCTTCCTCTATGGACTATATGAACACTTCCAGGCCACAGCTATCTTTAGCAAGCATCTACACAGCATCCAGCCCAGGGAAATGTGGTTGTATCTGAGGTTTCTAGGCGTCACCCGCAACAGGGACAACACACTCCCCCTTCTCGGAGCAGCCCAGGATTGCATCCAGCCCCACAGCAACCTCCAGCTTCAATTACACACACAGCTTGTCATCTAACACAAAAGAACAAAAACCACCCACAGCAGAGCACGGCAACCCTCCGCCATCTCAGAGGGGGATCTGCGCGGATCTCCCCAGATAATCAAATTTAAACCACCACTAAACCAGACCTTTGATTAGCGGCTGCGAAGTCCATTCACAGCGACAGCGTGTCAGGTCAATGTTCACTCCCAAAATCAACTGCCTGCCTCGGGAAAGGGTTTTGTTTTTTTTTTTTTTTTTATTTTCATTTGATGGTCTGCATTTGGGGCCTGGTTAAGAAAGAGTGTACTTGGGTGCACCATCTGGTCAGCCATAGAGCCTGCTGAGAAATGATACCAATAACCATCCTCCGGTGGTGCTGGAAAAGGCAGGTTTACAAAAGCCTGGGTGAGCTGATTGAAACCTCTCGGGCATGTGTTGTGTGCCCCGAGAGCTCGGCCTTGGGGCAGCCCGTCCCTCAAATCAGCCGCCGTCAGAAAGGGTCAAAGACCAAAATGACGCTGCTTTTTCACTCAGAGACTCCTCTGAGCAGCGGTCGCTTGGTTTTATCCCTTAAGCCAGCAGGCAGGAGTTAACTTGTGTGAGTTACGAATTGGGCTGGCACTGTAGAAAATAAATAAAGAAATCATAGAATCATAGAATTATGATTCCCCTGCATGATTAGAATTGGAAGGGACTTTAAAGATCATCCAGTTCCAATCCCCTGCTCTGGACCAGGGACACCTCCCACCAGACCAGGTTGCTCCAAGCCCCATCCAGCCTGGCCTTGAACCCCTCCAGGGATGGGGCAGCCACAGCTTCTCTGGGCAACCTGGGCCAGGCTCTCACCACCCTCACAGCAAAGAACTTCTTTCTGGTCTCTAACCTAAATCTCCCCTTCATCCAATTTAAAGCCATTCCCCCTTGTCCTGTCACTGCACTCCCTGACAGAGAGTCCCTCCCCAGCTCTCCTGTAGCTCCCTTCAGATATTGGAAGGCTGCTCTAAGGTCTCCCTGGAGCCTTCTCTTCTCCAGGCTGAACAACCCCAGCCTGTCCTCACAGCAGAGGTGCTCCAGCCCTGTATTTTTTTATATCACCCAGGGACAGGACAAGAGGAAATGGGCACAAACTTGAACATTAGAAGTTCCACCTAAACATGAGGAGGAATTTCTTTCCTGTGAGGGTGGCAGAGCACTAGAAGAGGCTGCCCAGGGAGGTGGTGGAGTCTCCTTCTCTGGAGATATTCAAAATCCACCTGGACACGTTCCTGTGCAACCTGCTCTGGGTGGACCCAACCCCATATCATTCTGTGATTCGGTGATTTTTAATGTCAACAGAAGCTGGTTGCTGGTGTTGGGCAGCGCCTGCCTGTCTCACCCCACACGGGGACTGACCCTGGAGGGACACACCAGCCCTCCAGGGAACTCAGCAGCAGGCAGACATCAAACCCGGAGCTCCAGACCCAAGGTCTCCAACACAGGAGCCAAAAAAGCTCATTCCTGGATTCCCACATGCACACATCTCCTTGCAATGCCGAAGGGGCCATCCCACCCATGGGGACAGACCCCACCGCGGGGATGCACCCTGGGACCCACATCCCAGGGCCCTCCCCATGGCCACAGACAAGCAGGAGATGTGTCCAGCCCCATCCTTCTGCCACCTGCAGAGACCCTGCTTTAACACGACAGAAACCATGGCTGCATTTGCCCCGCTGGATCTCACATCCCCCCGATTTCCCCACACACGTCGCTGTGCACGGGGCTGCCCATCTCGCAGCCCTACTCATGCCCCCAGCCCTACGACACAGACAACTGACCTAATTTCCCTCTTTTTAAACACCCAGAGGTCATCTCCATCTGCAGCAAACCCCACCGAGCAGGGAAGAGACACACAGAGCACTCTCTGTTCCCACCAGTCCTCCTCCCCCAAGCTTTCCCTGAAATTTTCCCCTGTGCTGCCTCTGCTAAATGCCGGAGGATCTGCACCTCCCACGTCCCTCAAGGCTGTAGAACGGTGCTGAAGAGGAGAAGCCAAGGAGATCCTGGGCCATTCCTGGGTTCATACGCCTTGGGGTGGGGAGTGATGGCTCACGACGTGTGTGAGCTCCACCTTGTTTTCTCCTTCACCATGGGAGGATCTCACCTGCAGCTCCCCAGGGTGTTCCTTGGTAGAGAGATGTCGGGGAGACGTCACCTTCAGCCCTGCTTTACCCGGTGACTCACTGTCGGGGCTCCCTCCCAGTTAACCCAGTCGTTCCAGTAGCGCCTCCCTCCCCTCCCAGCCTTCAAACCTTGCCCCATCTGCCTTTCTGCCTGGTTTTCCCTCCAAGCAGATCTGACCAAACTGGGATTTTTCTAGTCTGTGGCAAACCCTGATGCTTCCAGACACATCTTTCCATACCTAAAACAACCACTAAAAAAAAATAAAGAAAAAAAAAAAAGTGAAAAACTCTCCACTTTCCACCCCCAAGAATCACCTTTTTTAGTAAGAAGGTCACTCAAAAGCAACGCTCCAGTTGACTAAACTTCTGATTTTTCACAGCTTATGCAAGCAGAAAAATGCAGCATTGGAACAACAAGGGAAGGACATCAACAGAGGGCTTGGGTGTTTGGAAAGAAAAATAATGGATAGAATAATTACAAAGAGCATGTCCCTGCAGAACGTCTTGTTTCTGACTCAGCCCCAGCCTCGGCAGGTGTTCAACACACACCGAGCCTGGGCCAAACCCTCAAAGACAACAAGGCAGCGGGTGCAGCAGGAGCCCATCGCGTCTGGAGATGGGTCAGGGGCTCTGGGGACACCTTCGCTGCCAACCTTCTGGTGGCAGCAGGAGAATGGAGCTCAGAAAGGCTGGAAGTCGCTGTAGTGGGGCTTTTTGGGGGGTCTCCTCCAAGGAGAGACCTCGCAACTCGTTGCCCTGGCAGCAGGAGACCCAGAGGGTCAGGCTGCTGCTCAGACCGTTCTTTGCAGGAATAAAGTGACACCCTCAATTCAGCAACAGATTTGTAACGATGGACAGAGCACTGGAACTTTGCAAAAAAAAAATAATATTGTGTGCTGGCTTTTAAAAGGCAAAATGTGAGGGTGGGTGAGGTGAAATGACGAGGAATAATTTCATTATACAAGGTCTCAAAGCAACAGCTATGGTGACTTTTTTGACCCAGCAAAGGGGAGGAGGAGCAGGGTGAAACACCAGGCGAGGCAGGAGCTGACACTGCCATCGGGCTGGGGCTTCTTCCAGGGTGGTGGGCAAGGGCAGAGCACAAACCTTTGCTTGCCTCTGGTGTAATGAACATCCCTTTGGAAAACAAACCTCTCCAAAGCTCCTCCAGCTCCCCTCTCGAGCTCCAGCAGCCGTGTCTGACCAGGAGTAATGGATGCACGGGGCACTAGAGGAGAGGTTCTGCTCCCATAAACTCACAAATGCCAGTTAACTCCCTCGTGGGCTGCCGGGGCTTTTGCCACAGCTCTGGATATTTTTATAATCCAGATCTTGAAAGAGAGGAAGAATACGCTTTGTGAATTTTTATAAGGCCAGCTTCCTTCCTGCTTTTTCTTTTCTTTCTCTTTTTTTTTTTCTTTTTTTAAAACACTAGCACCAGATGACAAGATCCCTTCTTGCCCCCATCTGCATCCCCAATGCCCCAATATCCCACCAATGTCCCGATGCCACGCGTTGGGGAGGACCCAGGGTGACACACAGCTGTACTTACTCATCGCAGTGGGGGCTGCGGGAGCCGGGGGGGCTGCAGCCACAGGGACGGCATCGCTGGCCACTGGGCTCTGGGTAGAAGCCCTGGGCACAGGTCTCGCAGCGAAGCCCGGTGTAGCCTTCCAGGCAGGGGCACTGCCCCGTCACCCCGTCGCATGGGGCCCCGGCGACGCTCCCCACGGAGCTGCAGTTGCACAGGTCTCCTGCAAAGGGAAAGAGAAGCTGAAGAGTTTTCTGCTTGGGGACACGGAGCTGAGGAAGAGCCCAAGCGGGGGCCACTGTCACCCATCAGCACGGCTGCCCTCCCTTTGCTTGCCCACACAACACGGCCCTAAGGATGATGCTTGCTTGAAAAGGTGGAGAAGATAAAACATAACGTTGGGAGCACCCTGGGGTTCGAAGCCTCATGGTTCGTGTTTCAAATCTCTTTCCAAAAGGGAGCTAGAAGATTATTGGTATAACTACTTAAATACATATATATGTAACTCTATATAATCATAGAACCATAGAATGGTTTGGGTTGGAAGGGACCTTAAAGATCATCCAGTTCCAACCCCCTGCCCTGGGCAGGGACACCTCCCACCAGACCAGGTTGCTCCAAGCCCCATCCAGCCTGGCCTTGGACCCCTCCAGGGATGGGGCAGCCACAGCTTCTCTGGGCAACCTGGGCCAGGCTCTCACCACCCTCACAGCAAAGAATTTCTTCCTGAGATCTCATCTCAATCTATGCTCTTCCAGTGTGAAGCCATTAGTCCTCATCCTATCACTCCCATCCCTGATCCAGAGTCCCTCCCCATCTCTCCTGTAGCCCCTTTAGGGACTGGAAGAGGCTCTAAGGTCTCCTCGGAGGCTTCTCTTCTCCAGGCTGAACCCCCCCAACTCTCTCAGCCTGTCCTCACAGCAGAGGGGCTCCAGCCCTTGGCGCATCTTCATGCCCTCTGGACCCACTCCAACAGGTCCATGTCCTTCTTGTGCTGAGGACATGCATAAGCAATAGGTGGCAAAATCACTAATTATAAGATCCTCCATTTCTCAGCACTGCAACGCCCCTGATTTACCAACACAGGACACACACATCACACCTACACGATGAACCGGCGCCAGCATCTCCCACTCCTGGAGAAGGGATACAGAATCCCCCAAGCAGGAGGCAGAGGAGCTTTGGGCTGGTGGCAGGGGTCCCGACTGCCGCAGCCCAACCTCCCCGAAAATCTGTCCTCAGGGGAGCACTGAGCACATTAACTCAGCTTTAAACCCTGGGGTGGTGGAGCTGGGGCAGGACGGAGACCTCCTGGCCACCACCCTTCATCACCTCAATGGACCACCTTCAGCCCCATGGTGAGTGGGGACATTTCTGGGGACCCACACATGTGCCTTGGGGACACTCCTTATTTACAAGGGTATGGAGAACATGCACCGAGCAGCTGCTTTTTTAAGAGAGGAGCAAATCTGTTGATCAAACGATGAATTCCCAATCCCCCCCGCGCATTATTTCTCATAATACTTTAACGTACCAAACGCACCGAAGAGAACAACCTCTCCCCGGCAATTTGTTTCTGCCAAGAGCTTTATCTCCGTTCCTTCATTGCAAAATATTTAGTGCCTTAATAATTTAAAGTCTTTTTCTGCCAAGGGTGAATTATAAACAAGGATTATTTGCAGAAATAGCGTATAAAGCACCAGGGGCTTTACGCAACTGCTGGTATTTGTTATTCCCTGAGAAAAGCCAGTATTCAGGGCACGCTGTGGCAAGAGAGGAGAGGCCAGGTCCCCATCCCAAGAAAACTTAACTTAAAGTTCAAATCATTTCAAAAAGACCCAACATTAATGCTCTACACCAGCACTATTATTTCTTTTTAATATTTATATTGCCCCGAAATAATGCGACGGGAAGAGCCTCAGCAGGTGCCTGGATTGAACCTCACTTAAAACCCAGTGAGTGAATAAAGGTTAATTTATGGATAAGTGAGTAACCTGCTGAGATTGCACCACACTGGAGACCTCAGAGCACCTTTGGGAACAGAAGCCACGAGATGTCCCCATCAGAGCAGCACTGGAAAGGCTCCCCAGTGTCTGTCCTTCCCAAGGAGCAGCCCTCTCCCTGGATGCCTTCACTGACAGAATGCAGCAGAGAGGGAAGGTGGATTATACAGCATTTTGCCAAACACATTAAATGAACATAAAAACGCAATTACAGATGGATTTTTCAAGGAACTCTAGGAGCCAAGTGAGAGGAAGGATGCCCCTTCTCCCCAGAACCAACCAACAGTCCCTCGCTGTCAAAGCCCCCGGCGCTTTTACTTTTCATCCGTTTTCTTCCAAAGCACAAAGAAATAAGAGTCATTTAAGCTTTTTCATTCTTTCAATACATGCACAGTATCCCCACAGAAGTCATTTTGTACCTGTACACCTGTGAAATTGCACCTAAATTTTCTACAGTATAAACTAGCAAATAGGACAAACACCTCAAGATCTGCAATTATGCACTTCAGCAGCCACTTCACGTAACGAACCAAATTCCCATCTCAATTATCCGAGCGGAACCGCATCGATTTGGGCACTCGGGCTTCTCCCAGCCAACGGGAGGCACGAAAACTTGTTGAGCAAAAAGCGCCGTGGAGTTTGTCAAACACGCATCAAAACAAATTTCCCTTTCAAAGCTCATTACCTGCAGCGCCATTAGACCTGCTAGACCTGATTAAGAGCAGAAAACAAGCCTTGGATGGGTTCTAATGGTGGTGGGAAGCACTGGGAGGGCAGGTCCAGGAGGTGGCTCAGCCCCGGCAGCCGCGGATGCCACCATCTCTGCACACGCTGCTTCCCTGGGAGAGTGAGAAATGCTGCAATAACCCAAAAATAAGCCAGGAAAAAAGCAGGTTTTTGTTGGCAGGCTGGCAAGCAGTGGCTGCAGCTGCCTCGGCAGCGAAGGGGGAGGCCGGTGGTGCTGCCGGTGGGGGCACAGAGAGGAGCCCCTCTGCTGAGGAAGCCACGGGGAAGCTGAGAAATCATCCCCAAGATCCTGAGAAGGCACAACGGGGCAGGTAGAGAAGACTGGCTGAGGCTCCAGAGGGCTGTGTTCCATTCAGCGTGACCTGGACAGGCTGGAGAGCTGGGCAGAGAAGAACCTAATGAGGTTCAATAAGGGCAAGTGTAGGGTTCTGCAACTGGGGAGGAAGAATGCCAGACACCAATACAGGTTAGGGATGGACCTGCTGTAAAGCACTTCTGAGGAGAAGGATCTGGGGTCCTGGTGGATAATGAACTATCCATGAGCCAGCAATGTGCCCTTGTCACCAATGGGATCCTGGGCTGCGTAGGGAAGAGTGTGGCCAGGAGGTGGAGGGAATTCATTCTCCCCCTCTGGTCTGCACTGAGGAGGCCACAACTGGAATCCTGCATCCAGTTTTGGGCTCCCCAGTTCAAGAGAGACAGGGAACTGCTGGAGAGAGTCCAGTGTGGGGCAACAGAGATGATGGAGGGATTGGAGCATCTCCCTGATGAGGAAAGGCTGAGAGAGCTGCGGCTTTTTAGCCTGGAGAAGAGAAGGCTGAGGGGAGACCTTATCAATGCTGACAAGTATCTAAAGGGTGGGTTGAAGGAGGATGGAGCCGGACTCTTTTCAGTGGTTCCCAGTGAACGGGACGAGGGGCAACGGGCACAAGCTGGAACATAAGAAGTTCCACCTAAACGTGAGGAGGAACTTCTTCACTTTGAGGGTGGCAGAGCCCTGGAAGAGGCTGCCCAGGGAGGGTGTGGAGTCCCCTTCTCTGGAGATCTTCAAGCCCCGCCTGGATGCTCCTGAGTGATGTGCTCTGGGCAGCCCTGCTTTGGCAGGGGAGTTGGACTGGATGATCTCTAGAAGGTCCCTTCCAACTCTGACAATTCCGTGATTCTGTGAAGGGTTGAGTCCTTGAGGGCCCTGCCTCCCCCAGACCACCCGAGAGGTTTTTGGGGAGGGACAGTGGCCTATTTCAGGGGAGCAGCATCACACATGGTGCCCCACCACCATCCCAAAGACACCCACCCCAGCTCATGCGCCCGCCTGGCTGACGCAACCCAAAAATGCCCTAAAGCCCTTTTGGTTGGGCAGCGGAGAAAAACCAGACAGCAGCATGAAAATCCATCGCCTGGCGCAGCGTCGGGGTTTGACATGATGATCTACCAGACTATGAAAACCCGAGGCTTAATTTAAAGACACTTTGTTGTCCCGATGGCAGCCGGGTTCGAGAAGGCGAAAACAGTCCCCAGCCGGAACAGGAAAGTGATAACAAACCTCTATCTCAGACTGCAAGAACACAGCAAAGATGACAAGTGCTACAGAAGAACATTATCCTGGCTCCTGGCCAGAGCCTGGGTTTTTGGAGCCTTTTATTCAGTTTTCTAAAGCAAGCCTTTTGCTTTTGAAGGTAACCTTCAAAAACACCTGACCCAGAGCTTTTGCAAAGGCAGAGGAATGATGAAGGGTGGATGAAGCCCGGAGCTGCCCCTCACCGGGATGCTCAGCCGTGGTTGGAGGTGTTGTGTTGAGGTTGAGATAACACCATCAGCCACAGGAGCCAAGGGCAAAGACCTCTCAGGGATGGGGCACTGGTCCCAGCTCCAACCCCCATCTCTCACCGACCTTCTGCAGTCACTCACCCTTGCTCTGCCTCAGTTTCCCCATCTGCAGGGTGTTCACCCATTCCCCAGCCCTTCCCATCTCTGCCTCTGCTTCCCATTTCTACAACACCCAGGTTTCCCCTCCTTCCCCAACAAGCCTCATACAGCAACTCAAAGCACTGGGCTATCACTGATAAAAACCACCACCTTTGCTCGGGAATGTGTTGACAGTCTTTAATTAATTAACAGCCCCGATGACGTTTCGAGATCCTGGAATAGAAGCACTGTAAAAGTGCATATCACTGCCACGTGTTACTCCTTCAAGCAGAAAAAACAAACACCACTCCCTCCACGAGCAGCATTCTAACCTTTACTTTTCATTGTTTAGAGGCAGGTGGAATAAAAGCAAAGGTTTAGAGTTCGGTGCAGCAAAGGACACCCGGCTGCACGAGAGACAGGGATTTTATACACCATTTCAGTTAGCTGCATACTGAGTAATTATTATGCACAAATCATAGGTTATTAATAAGCCAGAGAATGGTAATTTCTAATTTTTGTTGTATTGGATACACACCCCAGCTGTAACCAACACAAGAAATTGCCG